AATCCGAAAAACACCAAGTGATGACACACCACACGTATATACAAACAGTATACACAAACTCGCGGATCATGTCTCGATGGAATTCCTTTGAAGAATCCCAGGACTTACACCAGTACGCCTGCAACCCTTCACAGGTTGACGATTGTAAGTTGTGAAATGTCCGGACACAAACAGGATTAACCAACAATTACAATAATTGGAACTCACACAATTATTTAACACAAACATATGTACAATCAACACATCAAAGTGGTGGATTCTGCCTTGACGAACTACCCTTGAGAACCGTAGGACTTACGGCAGTACGCCTACAACCCTTCTCAGGTTGACGCCTTAGGTTGGAAAATCGTCGTAGAGTTCATTTGCTGACTTCCTTCTATCAGCCATATCCTCAAATCTGAACGGTAACATGCTCATGTCATTGTATCGTAGAATATAGATGACCAACAAACACACGACGTATCTGGTCAACCAAGCGTAGAAACAGAGTAATTTACACCGAAGATAATAGCATTCAAATAGTAACTTGAAACTAGAAATGCCTTTATTCATGCAAGTCAATTTAACAATTACTCTCTCGTTTACACTTGGCTTATCCTCTCTAAACTGACCAATATCTTTCGTCTTTTCAAATGCACCAATACTATCATGGACATTGCACAAGATACTTGAGTTGATGGGCGTCTGTTTCATTGTGGATGACAACACCAACGACGACTGATTGATACCAGTTGATGAAGTTAGCGGTGGATCAAAAGCTGTTGTTGTTCGGCTTTCAGAAATTTGTCTAACTGGAAGACCACCACCACTGCTGTCTTTTACTATCAGCTCAGGTTTGGCACTATCATCTGATGTTAGGTGGGCTACATGCTGATCAATTATACTGACGGTCTGACAAGTATTCATGCCTTCTGCAACTGCATCTGCATTTAATTCTACTTCACGTTCAAGTTGTACAGAACCTTTGTTCAACTTAGCAGTAGTAGGCATATCCCTCATCTCACCATGATCAACCACAGACAAACCTGCACTATCATGATCATTATCATGAATATTCACTTTACCGTCAATTTCATCATTTTCAAACTCGTTAATAACAGAAGTAGACAATTTCGGTTCCTCCTCACAAATCCTTAAAGGTTCTATATCTTCAGTCTGACTAGTAATACTTTGTAATCTTGTGGAGTCAGAACTGTCCTCTGAGACTGTAACTCTCCTCTGTGACACTATTAAACAATGGCTTACCAGTTGCAACTACAGGCTTCTTGACCACACCGTTATCGTCACACAGTTCGGAGTCAGACCTTGATTTCACACTTAGCTTATCACTAAACTTGCTCACTGATTCACAGTTCACCTCAGTGTGCACCTCTTGCAAACGTGTAAAACACAACCGTATTTGTCTTGCATCTTGCAACTTATCTGTTGAGGATGTACTACGAAACCTGTCACACTCACTAGGTCTATATGCATTACTAGACATCATGGAGCCTTCTCGATATCCACCTCTCTGAGGCCTATTCGTCATCAATGATTGCGCTTTACCCTCAGACTGCTCTATTCTGGGGGTGAGATTCAATATACTGGCAAACTTGCTCATAGATTGATTGACATTATCTTTTATCAGTTTTGGAATATCATCGAACTTCGGCTCGATACCCTCATCCTCCATACGGGAGCTTATCTTCACCCACTTCCTTTGCAGTCGAGTAGGTAGGCGTCTTGCTATTACCTCTAGGACTGAACTTCAGTTCAGATGGCTCACGCAATTTATCGAAATCAATGAGTTCTTGTAAGTCAACAGATTATCCAGAAACTCAGTGAGTGCCTGGGAGTCATCCTGTAATTGACCACCATTACCCTTAACAGCCTCGAATAATTTCCCTACAATCATCGAGGGTCTTCCAAACCTTTGACGTAATATGCTCATAGCCTCGTAGTAGCCCTCTTTTGGCTTCATAAACTTACAGCACTGTATAGCTCTTGCAGAATCTCCATTGCAATACCTCATCAAATACATTAACTTCATTTCATCAGTTAATAAAAAACCACTCAGCATGATCTCAAACTCCTTTACAAATTGTAAATAATCAGCCGGGTTTCCATCGAAACACCGTGGTTCCAATTTAGGGAGTTTGATGTTCCTATTATCCCTGAACGGCGAAACAGTAACATCAACCATGTCATGCTTAACATCAGACACATCGTTAAAATTAGCAGACAAGTCACCATGACTTACTTTTCTGTTTGCATCCAAGACGCTCTGTGCCTTCTTTGACCCAGGCATTGTTGAACTTGACCAAATTCCAAAAACGTTCCAGATATTGCTAGTTCAAAGAGGACTTGACCGGCACCAGGAAAGATGAACGGTGACTATCCAAAGTCGTGCCAACTGTCCAAAACCGTTTAAAAACTGACATTGTACCGTCAGAAAGTGTCAGCCACGTCTCATAAACGGTCAATGACCAGCTCTGGCTACACTCGGACTCACGCTGTTCCTTGAAGTTTCTCAGAAACGCTTAATAACAACGGACGCAAAAACCAAAACACCAATTAGCGACTCGAGGATTTTTTATTGTAACACCAACACATAAACACTGTTACAACTAAGGTCTGTGAACAAATATTACAATAATAAATCACAATATTACTTCTGACGGTTTTCTCCTGACTTCTTTCTGAACAGCGACCGATGAGACAATGACTGGTGTATCGATGTCTCCGCGAAAATATAGGGAAGTTGGTTTTGAGCAAACGACCATGAATTGATCGTTCAATCTTCAACTACATTGACATTAGGACAGGGAAAACGTCAGTAATTATAGACTAGTGGCTCTACTCCTAGTGATATCAAAAGTACTGGAAAGTATTATTGACGACCACATCATGGAATAGTTCGATAGGTCTAATATACTACATGAAGCCTAACATGGTTTCAGAAAAGGCAGATCCTGCGTTACTTACCTACTGTCAGTTTGGGACGACTGGACATCACGCTGGGATAAGAATATACCAGTCCATGTGGTCTTCCTAAACTTTGAGGAGGCATTTGACACTGTTCACCATGACCTTCCCCTACGTAAAATAAGACAGGCTGGAATAGGTGAGCCACTTCTGTCATGGTTAAAGGACTACCTAGCTGACAGACAATTTTGCACTAAGGTCAATAGAATCCGATCATCCTGGCACAGCTCGTCATCAGGAGTGTCACAGGGTTCTATCCTAGGACCACTGATGTTTTGGATTTTTATCAATGATCTACCATACCGTCTAAGCTGCCCGACTTCTATACGCTGACGACGCAAACATATGGAGGGTGATAAAGTGTCCGGAGGACTCAGATAGTCTGCAGGAAGATCTAAACCTTCTGGAAGACTGGGCAGTGGCCAGTGGCATGACTTTCAACCTGGAAAAGTGCGAAGTAGTGAAGTTTCACACCTGTAGACTGCAGAATGGAAGTTACACCCTGTGCAATTAAAGCTTGTCCTGCACAACGTCGGAACGCGACTTAGGTCTAGTTCTAAGGGAAAAAAATGGACACAAGCGTAAATTTCACAGATGTAGCGAGGGCATATGTGGTCATACACTTTACTCATAGACAGTTAGGTGCACTCACTTCTGAGCTCTTTATAAGGTTGTACAAAACATACGTCAGGCCACACCTTGAAGTGCATAATATTATTGCATCCCCAATGCTGAGAAGAGACGCCAACCTATTAGAAAGAGTCCAACGACGGGCAACAAAAGGGATGGTTGGTCTCCAAAACAAACCATACGATGAAAGGCTGAAGAAATTAGGCCTGTTCACACTTAGCTACCGTCGGCTTAGGGGGGATTTGACTACTGCCTACAAAATAACAAATGACCAGAATCACCCAAACAAAGGCGTTCTGCCATTGAGTAGGTACAGGCTTCCACGTGGAAATCCCAGAAGGATAGCTCACCTGAGGGCAAGGACCCGGGTGCGCTCCCACTTCTTTTCACTGCGACTTTTCCGTCCCTAGAATTCCTTACTGGCAGATGTAGCTATGGTACCGTCTTTGGACGCCTTAAAGCGAAGGCTGGACAGCCATGCAGCGACACAAGGACTGCATCCAAATGGCCTATCCCCTTAAAATCGCGTACACCATTCAGGGGTAGACAATTAAACTCGTCGTTTTACTTCTTTACATTCTCTCCCGTTTTACTCTCCTGACAACTTAATAATGTTATTATTATTATCGATATATATATTATTCTTCAAATTTAATCAGCTGACTATTGTTACGCTCTCCTATTTCCGTTCTTGTCTGTTAGTCTGAATAACTTCACTAATTATATGTATTATTAGAATTATTATTATTACTATCTCTTTTCTCTGGTCGACGATACCGGAGGACTAACTGGCGAAAGGATCAACTCCATTCACAGTAGTAACAGTCTTAACACACCTCATACCACAAAACACATAAAATTATTCCCAGCACTACTCCCTTTGGAGTCAACCAAAGCTACGACATTCGAGTGGCGGGACGAGCTACACAGAAGTTTACCGAAGATCAGGAATCTATACCTTACAATCAAGAAGCGAGCACAAACAAATCAAATTGGTTTATACTAGTTCGTAAAGACGATATTGGACCTGGCATAAATGAGAACTATGTTGGGAGTAGGCAGGTCGTATCTTGAGATTTTGGCCATGTCTTGAAGTAGCTTGTGATGGGATTCAGTCATATTGTTCTCAAACGGCAATGAAATTTATGAGTCCGTAGAAGCACCAGGAAAGCTAGGAGTGCAGAAGCGACCAGTGATATTTTTGTGCTCCGGTAAATTGAGGCGTAAAGAAAAATGATAGTTGGAAGAAAAGGAAATAGAGGGTTGCTGGTGAATTTAGAAACCTGGCAATAGATTTTCCACATTCACATGACTTTTCGTGGCCAGATTCATGTGTTTATGGAAAACACGCAACAGGAAAGAAGGAACCAACTTAGTAATATAGTTGAATGAGAATTGAATGAATGAAAATCATCTAAGTTTTGATGTGGCGCTGAATACGGTTGTGGATTCTTACCTGTTGGATAAATCCTTGTTGTCTAGTTCCACGCAATGTCAGTGTTATTGATCGTATGAAACACATGCCTCTTTTCGAAAATATAAGGAAATGTGTTTGTCGTCGACATGGGTTATCTCGTCGAGTAACAAAAGTTTTGTTCAATGTGAAGATTAGTGAATCTTTTAAATCTCCCAATGTTCCGTCTCAGATTCGAGTAAGTAACTCGTTTATCATGTGTATGTTTAGGATTTATTGGTGTACATTGCAAGAGAAGGTGTGGCAGTCACTGACCTGTTTAGAAGACCAGGTAATCCTCAAGATATGAAGAAAATCATAGCGGATCTGGAGGCGGGCAGACCAATCAAGTGGACGGACTATAACTTCTATACACTTGCGAATATTGCTAAGCGCTACCTCCTCCATATTGAAGGTGGTGTTTTAGGCCCTCAATCTGAAGAGAAGCTGCTCTCTACACTTGATATACTAGATGATCAAGCTCGGATTGAAGCGATGCACAGGTATGCAATCAGTGAATCCTATGAACTTTTGTTCACTATTATTAAATAAAGTTTGTGGAGTATTTGAAATAGGTTTATCTATTTGTAGTTATTGGTACCATTCAGTATAGCTATTTTGTTATGAAATTAGCTGTACCCACATAATGTCTGACAAATTTACAAACTACAACAACAACTGAACGCTCTATGACTAGTTAGTCATTCCCGTTTTAAGTACGAGAGTTCAGAAATCAATGCACTCATTCATTTTAGTATGTTCTGCCGGAAGTTTATCTTGAACATCTAAATGTACTAGGTTGTTTCATCAATGCAGACCACTACATTTAGTTCAGTACGATCGGAAGCATACTAGTTTGACGCCTACATTTTTAACTGTATCTCAGTGAAAAAAGTAAACACTTAAGTACGCGACTGGTGGATTCAGACGTTCTGCTCTCTAACATCAAATTACGAATGCAAACTCTCCGCTTGGCGAGTCTCCACTCTAAACTGGCGAATTTCAGACTGAGACTACTTTAACTAAGTTAGTCTAAAAATCCTACATCAGAGATTAAGAGAGATTTATGTGCTTGTGGATGTATCTAGGTGGTTATTACTTTCCAGTTGCCCAGACCATGGAAGATAATTTCTACTTGGAGTACCTGAAACAGGAGCATTGATGTTGAGTAACAGCAGAACCCATGAGACAATAAATTGGAACCGGCCACACGATCTGTATTAGGACCTTATTGCCGGTTACGGACCTCCTCAAGGTAAGTGGGGACGACCAGTTTTCGGGGCCGACCTCTTCTAACTGAATTTCACAGAGCGAAGAAATGGCATATCTGGTTTGTTGGTCATCTAGGGGAAATAACTTACTGCTATCACACCCTTATTCGCCAGCAGCTCGACTTCGCTCACGAACCCTCCATCATAGTGTAACTGTTTGTGGTCTAATCTCTGTTCTAACTACTTTTCTGGCATATTAGTACCTGAGGGAGCACTAGTTCTAGCCAGTGTAGTTCTCTGGGTCATTGTTATATGCAAGCCCGTCCACCACGTTAGGATAGCAAATCTCGTTGGAGACAGGGTGTGAAGACTCGTAGTAAGACGGCTCGATATCTTTCACAGTGGTGCAGATATATCCACTCGTGATCACTAACCACTTACGTGCTCTTTGAAAAAATATGGTATCGATCTGTGTAGTCTTAGTTTGACCCTCTTATAGAGATGACATCTTGGCTTGAGTCGCCGAGGGTATAAGCATCATTGACTAGAGACTTAGTGACATGGCTCGAAATAGTTACCACTTTGATCGCCCAAATCCATTGAATCCTTATTTTCCGTGCAATTTATCCTTTCTCCCGCACGTTCCAGTCGTATTTTTTTGTTTCATCTTGCCTTTATGTGTGCTTATGTGAAGTCTGGCAACTTAGATTGCAACACTGTTGTGCAAAGTTATAGACTAGAGATTGTCAGCCATTTATTCTGTTCACCCTAAGCTTTCTTGTGCCGTTGGAATTGTGACAATCCTAATTGGGCCCATTTTTGTCCTAGACAACCCAGTCACCAGCTACCACATATTGAGTATTCCTCATGAAAGTACTTGTAGTATTCGGATGCATTCAATTGAACTAACGCAATTTTTACTCGTCAATTACTTTTTGAACTTGTACTTTGTTTTAGTGTGATAGTTTCTCAACCGAAACCGGTTCAGCAGCTACTTGCTCTATTGTTTGGTATCTGGTTTCGAATGATCTATCATACAGAAGTTAATGCAATGTCTGTAGAAGCGGTGGCTAAATCTGTCGCTGGATCAGTTTTCCCAAGTTGCACAACCACTCCGAGAAAAGTGAGAGATTATTAGTTTTTATGCGTTACTTTAATGAAAGAATATATATATATATTTTCGAACTGCGTTTTGGATACTAACCAGGTAGTTTTGATGTGCCAGTCAATGCTGACGTAAAAAATATCCTTCATTCCACGAATCCACGTCATAGGCTGACCAACTATTTTTTCCATCGCATCCCAGGGCTAGCGAACACAGATGGATATGAAGGCGTGTGGGTTGACATTCATAGTATATGTCCTAGCCACCAAAGCCAGTGCTTCCAAATGATAACAACCAATGAATGTTGACCACTGTGTCCAGACACTGCCAGACCTCATGATTGCTCACACGATGACACGGTTGGGCGGAAAAAATTCTATGAAGTTCGCGTTGATTAACTATGCAGAGTTATCGCTAATCCTCTGTTCGGAGAGGCCAAGTTTCGCATGGGCAGAGCTAGATTGAGTTCACTGAGGCGCTGTCAACCCTACCTTTGACAACCAGGCTAATGTCGTGATGATGCTAGAGGTGGCATCATCGTTGTCATCGTTACTTTCACTATACGGTTAAACATCTCGCACGTCACACCTGCTTAATTACTCGAACTTGTCGACAACTTCAAGCGGTTCACTTGCAAATGTGATTGCAGGTGCAGGCGCATGCAAATTTTGCATCAGTACTCTTCACTTAGACAGCCCAAAGTACTTACCATACAAACAGGTACTGATCGCCAACTGATTAAGCGCAATTTAGACAGCCTGCATTTCGTCACACAGCAAGATAGTATCATCTGAATACTCAAGGTCTAAAAGTCTACACCACTACGTATGATTGGAGCTCACGTATGACTTCACTGACATTGGTTTTGAAAATCTAAATCTTGTTTTTGCTGGCTGAGTGCAGGAGATTTGCAAACTTGTTGCAGGTTGATGAAGATTCATCTCGTTTGTCTTTCCGATTCTGGCTGGCTGGTGTTGACATCCTCATCCGTTCCGACTGCATGTGATTGAAACGATACTGCCTAGATAAATGGAGGAAGTTACCTCTTTTAAATCTCTCCTGTTGACGGTGATTGGTGCTGGTTGTTTTCGTTGTTGTTGCTGCTGTTGGTTGGTTAGTTGGTTATCTTCATCACCTTCTCCTCTATGTTCACCTGCAGTCCCGTCTTCCCTGCCAGCCTCTTCAGCCAGTTTGTTGGTTTTCGCCAGCCTGCTAGTCTTCGAGTTTGTGTGACATTAGACATGCATCATCCACATGCGGAATCCAGATCTTCTCGGGTCTTCTTATTGGTGGTCTAGCGTATTCCTGTCTCCTCGCTCCCCACAGTGTTCCGAATAATCCAGTCCCTCACAGTTGGGAATATCAGTAGTGGTAGTAGTACGTAGTCAGCCTAGCTTGTCTTACTGCTGTCTTCACTTCAAACGCTTCTCTGAGTTTCCTGTTGTGGATCACCTGACTGACACTTGGAGGGCATTGCCATATAGCCAGTTGTTGAATGAGATTGATAAAGATCTGAGGACTGGACTCCGTAGCGTCGAAGCAGTTTCCGAATTACTTCTCGGTCAACGATGTGCTGTCTGGTGATGGCCTTTTCGAAGTCAATGATGGAAGTTCAGTAACTCCATTGCGGATAAGATTTTATTTTGATAAGTCACACAGTATTGTACAACTATATTAACCGATGACGTTTCGAGCACAAACTACTGCTCATAATCATATCAAGTTACTCACACAACTTTTTTTCATTGATATACATGTGTGGAATCGATTAGATATTGGATTAAAAATCAATGTGAGATAATGCACATTCAGAAATAATAGTACGAGTGTTATTGATCCATTACAACTATGTGGGAAATACGAGTGTTTTTATAGCCATAATAAGTTACTTGTTAGAAGAGAGAGAGGTTTGACGACGTTGCGTAGAGTTGCAATTTGATGAGCACATGATTTGCCTTTTATGAATCTAGCTTGCTCGATTGGATGGATGCAGAGTTCTGCATCCAATGCATCTTTTATTCTCTTCAGGATGACGCGACTTAGTATTTTTTGTTGCGTAGACGAATGCATTACTCCATGCTAGTTCTTCTTGTAGAGTGAGACCTAAGTTGCTCTTCTTTGATAGATTGATGAGGCAGCCAGCCTTTCTTCCAATCCGTAGACACCTTTCCTTCCTTCGTTCCAAGCCCTTTGCAATTGTGGCGTGGGCATGTCTGCTGCTGTCTGTGGGTTCGTTTTCAGTGTTTCAGGGTCGTGATGCCTTCCCTGACTTCAGTAGCTTGATTGAATTCAGGATTTCTGCCTTCGTTGGAGGATTGGTGTCCACTGGCGTGTAGTTCTGTGCATGCCGTTGGTGTTGGCGTCTGTGGTATTTCTGAGTTTCAGGCGATGACGGTGGATTCAAGAGTCTTTTGAAGTGATCAGTTCATTGTTTGATTTGTCTCACCTCCTTGGTAAACAGGTTCCCTTGAACTTCTGTTATTGGCTACATTATCTGGATGATGATTGATTCATCTTCTCCCAGATAGCTAGCAGCCTGGTTATCTGTTATAATGTTCTCAGGTCTGTTTACCTGCCACCTGCCTGTTCCGCTTCTGTTACCAGCCAGTGTGATGTAGAATTATCTTTTGTCCTTCCTAGCACTCTTCTTCACTTATTTGTTCAGTGCCATGTACATTGAACTCAGCTTCTCGTTCTGTTGTCCATCTTTGCACTGAGTTATCTTCGCTTTCACCATCCTCCTCTTCTCTATTCGCCTTGCCTTGGTTAGCTTTCAGGTAGGTGTCCGTTAAGAACCATTCCTTATCGTGTCACTTCTTTCTTCCTAGAGCAGTTGTACACGCTTCCTTGAATATCGCCTTCAAAGAGTTAGTTCTAATGTTCTTCCACGCAGGTCAGGTTTCCTCGGTGATACCGCGTAGTGTCTCCGACTTTGCTCTGGTCTGATCTATATTGAAGGTATTCCTCGTAGTTTTGTCCTTTAGTTTCTTAATGTTGAACTTGAATTACAGTGGCCTGCCTCCAGTTGTTCTGAAGGCTTCCAACTTCACTGTAAAGGTTCCTAGAACTAGATGATGATCTGAGCCTGCCCACATCTGCTCCCCTTCACGACTGTGTCGAGCAGACTGGCTGCGTGTCCACATTCTTGAGCAGATGAAGTCTGTCTGGTTTGTGATGTGTCCGTCAGGCGAAATCCATTTTGTCCTGTGTATATTCTTGTGTTTGTACATGCTGGTTCCAGTCACCAAATCATTGAAAGTCTGTAAAGAGTTCTCCGTTCTCATTCATTTCACCGGATGAGAGCCTCTATACGGATGGTGAGTTCTCTTCCTGTATTGTCTGCTCCCAGTTCGGCTGGAATTCATATCGTCCATGAGGAATTTGATGTCACCATTTGGGATGTCGTCCATTACTGTTTGTAATTGTCTATAAAAATCTCCATCTTCTGTTGTTCCGCGCTGTTTGTAGCACTTTGAGTAGCATTGCGTGATAACTGTGACTTTACTTCCTTCCTTTTGAGTTGAATCTTGTTGTCATGATGCAGGAGGAGATTGGTTCCCACTGCATTAGGTCTTTGTCTGCAACTGGTGATATCATTATATCCACTCGGCGCCTCAGCGTGCTCGTTGTTATCGTCTGGGTGACCAGATGGGAGTAGATTACTGACTCTCCAGTTGACAATTTTGATAGTCGGTATCCATTACATCCTCTCTCGCAGATACCCAGAAGTTTTGAGGAATATTTTAGCATCTCTTTGCTACCTGGATAGCCTTTCGAGTCTCGTACATAGTACGGACATTCCGGGCACCATAATTAGCTCCCAGGATAGACGACTGGAACACTGGAAAGAGCACTATGAGGAACAGTTTAATTGGCCTACAGCCACACTCAACCTGCCGAACACCCAACACCTCCCTGAATGGGATATAAACACAGGTCCTCCGTCCCTAACTGAGGTTACTGAAGCTGTCACTAATCTGAAACAAGGCAAACCAGCAGGACCTGATGGAATGACTCCAGAGGTATTTAAGTACGGTGGAGACAGTTTACTGTCTGCATTAACTGAGGTTCTAGGCAGCGTCTGGGAATCCGAGGAAGTCCCGTCGGGTTGGTGTAAGTCACTGATTATCCCGATATACAAGAAGGGAGACAAGTCTTCCTGTGATAATCACAGAGGGGTTAGCTTGACTAATATAGTATCTAAAGTCCTAGGGTCAATAATATTGCGTACACTAAGTGGTGCTCGGGAGACACAAGCACGAGAGAACCAGGTAGGCTTTAGACCAGGAAGAGGGTGTATTGATCATATCTTCACCCTTCGACAGATTCTAGAACATAGGCATTCCTACCGGCGCCCAACAATCATTATATTTCTTGACCTTAAGGCGGCATTCGATTGTGTCGATCGAGAAGTTCTCTGGCGATGCTTGGCTGTAAAGCTGATTCCGAGAAAATACATTGCTCTGATCATGCGATTCACTCCCCCCAAATGTAAGATGATGGTACAAGACTTGACTGCACTGACTCCTAGTTTAGAAATAGGGAGTTAAGTGTTAGAGCACATTGACCGCTTCACTTATGTGGGAAGTCCCAACGGGTTGATCTCCGATGAAATCTTTGCACGGATACAGAGGGCTAGTTTCGCACATGCCAGTTTACGCCGTCTCTGGCGTAGACGAGATATCCGAGTATCGACCAAAGGGCGAGTGTACTGCTCAGCAGTCTGCTCCGTCCTCCTTTATGGCTGGCTGTGAGACCTGTCCACTGAAAGTGGAAGACATGAAAAGATTAGCAGTCTTCGATCCTAGGTGTCTGCGCCCTATCTCCCGTGTGAAGTGGTATAATAAGGTGAGCAATATTGAGGTTAGGCGTCGAGTTCTAGGTAAACAGGAGAAATCAATCGACGAGGCTGTGAAATTACATTGACTGAGATGGTTAAGACATGTGTTACGGAAGCCTAGTCATCGCCTTCCTCGACTAACGGGCAATGTTAGCTGACATAGGGTCAGGCTGGAAAAAAGCTAACGGTGGTCAAACCAAGACACGACACCAGTCACTAAAATCCACAACAGTTAGTCTAAGCCACGTAAGAAGGTGTAGACTTCCGGGTTGAGGTCCTCGGGATGGTTAAAACCAATGGATGGAAACAATTGGTGATATGGCTCAAAATCGTTCTCAGTGGTGCAGATGCATCCACTCCTTGTGACTTATGATTTCCAATAAAACTATATTGTTCTTCGTTATTACTATTCCTTTGTCTCACACCTCTGTTTACTGTCTCTATTATGCATTTCTTTTACTTTGTTCTCTTGCTTTGTGTGCTACATGGAGTGTGGCGACTTGAACTGGTGCACATATGTGCAAAGTTCTATGTCGAAAACAGACAGACGGAGACGGACATTCCACGTCCCCATTCTTATTCTTGCTTTCACCGAGAAGAGACACATCGGCTGGCTGAATGGCTTCTCGAAGGCTTTCACCGGCCCGCAGTATCATTTCGCCTCTTTGATTCCAGCGAAGAATAAATTAGCCTTTTAAATTTGTTGTATTTACGATATATTTTTTGTGCGTTGAAGTTTGTGTAGCATGTATTACGTCGGCTCATTTTAAAGACGGGTGCGGCCATGGCTTCATTCCACATTGATGGAACATTCTTACTTTCCTGAACAGTTCAGTCAACAGCCTAACTAGAATCTCTCCACCATCTTGAAAAAAACTATTGGTAGATTGCCTAGGCCTGATACCTTTAAGCGTTTCACTTCGGACCTCCGCTTGGTATGGTGAGCTGGTATTGACAACCATGGAGCACTGTAGTTGGTAGGATGCTAGCAGTGTTGGCCAGCTAAAGTGCATTTCGGAGTACTCTGCTAGCGTTCCTGGCGCCTTTCCAATTCGGTAATTGACACCATCCACCTCGCTAACACCATGCTTCTTATTGCTGGTAGTTCGGATGAACTGAAACAGCTTTGGGCTATTGGCAGATACAACTGCTGGTTCTATCCCGTGCACACGTTCGTACCGACAGGCTTCGCAGTCCCAGCGTAAACACTATTTGATCTTGCGCGTGTTGTTATACTAGCTGTTCACATATACCACACAGGCTTGTTTCAAAGGTATACTTAGTGATTTCATTTTAGAGTGAAGCAACATTCAATTAATCATATTTTAAACAATATAGCAGGCTGTCTGATCAGTTATCAGTCCCTACATATGAGAGTAGATGGGTGTAAGTAGTCTTCACTGTATACTTTAATGAGTTTCAATATTTTGATTTCCTCTCACAGATCCACATCGTTAGTTCCAGATTAAATAAGTTAATTTGATATAACAGTGATACAGTCATAATAACTGAATGAAGTTTCAAGCCTAGTTATATTGCTCACAATCATAAGTCAACCAACTCTCTCAGAAACAAACTTTGGCGGCTTAAGGACCTGATAGATCCAATTATGAAAATAATATAAATTACCGAATGCTATTTAATAAGTGTGAAGTCAATTACCCATGTCACACCAGTAGATCACGATGAGTTAGATTATCGGAAGATAAGCATTTGGCTAGATCTAGGATGAATAAACCTGTAAATGTAATACATTTACTTTCATGTAATCATACAATAGGGTGGAATAGGGTAACACATTTAGGTAGTGAGAGGTTAATCACTGGTTCTTTGTTCATCGAATCAACGCTGAATATGTGTAACTGAAATTACTCAGTGCTTCCATCGAATATATGGGAAATATCATTAAAAAATAGCAGGAAGTAGGACTATATAAAGCAAGCTGCATGAATACATTGTTATAATTATAAGCAATAAATTGTGCACAAAACGTCATTGAGTTATAAACAGTGTGTCACAATATCACATGAAATAAACCTAATGGGGAATTATATTCTACCACAGTGCTCAAATTGTGCTTTTTCATTAAGCCACCTCGTTGGGTTAACCGATTTTAACAACAATGGTACTGCAGGTCAGAGAAATAGCTTGTCGAATATCATCCAGCTTTCCAGGGGTATCTGAAGGTAATTGCTTGTAATACCGTCTACCTTCCATACAGTATCACTGGTGCTAATCCTGTTGCTGTCTGTGGATCAGATAGGCTGCAGCCAATTCTAACTGGTTCTGGATGCGATTGCAGTGCACGCCTCACCTCAACTTTTTGAGGATCAGTTCTTCAAGATACTGTCACAAGGCTTATATGGGCATATTAGTCTTACTTACGCATTTGGTCAGACGAATTCTTGTCGGGATTTGGAAATACGTTAACAGAACATTGTATTACACAGCACAGATTCTTAACTGACTTTTACGCTGTTTTCTTTTAAAGTTCCGATATGTGAGTACATAGATAATTTTATTTTTTAACGGTAGTAAGGTAACTAATCCGATTTTTTCGCAATTTATGCTTCTCACTAATGAATGGATTTCTGTGGGATTTTAGATGGAAATAAGTGGATTTAAAAAAAATAACTATTGGTTTATGTATTCACACAGTATTTCCCATATTTTTTTAAAACTATGTACTATGGTTACAACAAAATCAGCATATATATATTGATGTTTTATTGTAGGTTGAGCGAGCATCAAAAGTCATGGAATACCTTATCACTGGCTTTGCATCAGCTGACCTCTTCAGTCGTGAACTGATAGAATACTTTACTCTAGAGACTAAAACTAGCATTTCAAGAGTAGAGAAGTTCAAGTATGAATTTCGATTTCCAAAGGATGTGCCAAGTAAGCTCATTGATTGATTATGTTACACCACAGTGCTTTCCACTGTCTGGTTAATGATCTGTTATGTAAATATGGGTTATTTCGCATTTTATTCAAATGTGTCAATATAGGTTTAAAAAATACAATTAAGAAAATAATATTTTAAACATTAGCATTTAAGATTCTATATAAATCAGCCTGTGCTATTGCGTCAATCAGCCCAGATAATTTTAGTTAACATTCTCCCGACTTTCTAACACTTGGATGGGTCAGTCAGTTAGTCAGGCTTTATCGATTACTGTGTAAATATAACTTTTATTAAATGTGAATCTGTACTAATACGTTTATATATGCTGTAATTTTATACAAGTATCTCAACTAATTTCAGTTAGCTAAGAGATTTTACGCAAGTCTAGAATCTTTTTCCACCACGAATAAAAGGAAATTCAACAGGTAGAATAAAAACTGGCATGCAGAAGAGTGGTTAGCCTCTTTGATATGTTCATCAGTGTGTGCAACTGCGTCGTCGGTCAACACTTTATTATGTAGTTAATTAAGTTTTTTTTTATTACCACAAGTCATTTGATAATAGGGAGAGACGATTGATTCATTAGCTTAAGCTCTCAACTTTAAGTCAAATGGCTTCTGATTGTCTACACCCACTGCACTCATTTCGATTTGGGGCAACGTAATAGTACCAGACGCCTGGTAGGATGTGATAATACAAATATTAAATTAGATGAACAGAAACTACATGAGTTGTCACATTCATAATGTCTTTTGAACACATACTGTAGTATTTTACAATCTGAATGTTAATTATAGTAAACATGTATTTCCATGCTGGAATCGTCTGCTTACAGTTGCTGACCTGTGTACGTAAATCGGCTGATAGCTTGTGAAGTATTTACAAATACATGCAAAACTAACTTGTAATACTGCTTGAGAAATTATAAAGTGGGATTAACATTTCAGTGAATGATGAATAGACCTTTATTATGTTTTACCGAACACCGGATAAAGAGGATATATATATATTCTCTGAGTAACCGGGTACAACAGATACACTAAGAGGAGAGAAGGAAGCGTGGAAATCTTCCATTCTTTTTTGGTATTTTTTTTTAAACAATGAAATTAATACAACACTAACGGTACAACTTTTGATCCTGAACTTCATATAATAGTATCATCATCAATATAATGATGCGTGCAATATATTCACTAACCCATCATTGCATTGTTTTAAAATGATTCTGCTTACCAAGATGACTTTGCTATTCACAGGTGCATAATACTACCGCCAGATTGTAGACAACGATGATTAAACACGGATTCAGATTGGCATTTTCTGTAGTACTAATTTCTTTTTTCTTTTTTAATAACTACCAACGTTTCGTTGTAAAGTAATAATGGAAAGATAACCACCTGTAGTATGAACCATATTCTGTATTATTAAACAATACGTTTCATGCAGTCGACCTTGGGTAGTCTTTCTTTGGATAGTACATTCATTAGTGTGTTTATATGAGTGAATGAGTCAACTCAGGAAATTCAAACTATCATACATAACACCTCGAAAGTTAGCAGTAATGATACAGTTATAGGTAAATTGACTAACTCAGTCTTACTTCCCCATTGGTTCCAAATAAGCGAAAACGTTATCTTAGCGTTCTGTTGGAAAGTTTGTTAGGAGAAAATCCCAGGTAGTCCGTTGCAACAAAGAAAATTTTGACACTAAAAACCACGATTATTTCTCTCCCTTTTACACAATTGCGTTTCAGTATTTTTGGAAGATGGAGTGTTGATTTTTGCATCCAGTTAGTGAGAAACTAAAGAGCCTTTAATTGTCATATGCACCTCTGGGTTCTTCCAGAAGATCAATATTTTAGCAATTGCACTATGGGTCACCATTAATTTGTTTTGCTTGTTATACAATTATTCCTTAACCGTAGTTTGATTTGTATTCTGTAAAAAAATAATGATAAAAACCTACCTTCTGGAAAAACAGTCGATTCATATTTTAGCATGTAAAATATCGCTTCGACGGTATCAAAGAACAACAGACTACCCCAAACTCTAGGATCAAGACTACTGCCGCCACAGTTCATTATAACTTTCACATATTCACATTGGCTGGACAGTATATTAACAGACACGCCTAGGTTTGAATGCTGGAATTTGAGCTATATACTTCCTGATAGTGGAAGTTTAAGCTATTGATCAATAATCCACCGATATTTAAACCTACTGATTTTTAGTAAATAACTCCATTTCAGTTTAAAGCGTGAGAAGTTCTCTGGAAATAAGTAGACGAAGATGTCAGTTGATATTTTACTGTCGTTACCAATTCCAAAAAGCTCTTTCTCAGGCACCCAATTGTCTCAGGACGGTGTTTAGGAATCTGCTTTGGATCGTTTAGTGCTGAATTTCCTTAGGTTTAATATTCCTAACAAGCAGAGAAATTTAAAATTTACAATATATGCATATATATATATATATATATATATATATTCAGAATGAATAACTTTACTGTTGATGGCGTGATAATTTTGGAGTTGAAGACTTCTGTGTGTTGTGATAACCTGAGTGTTTTCAGCTGTCTACAAACATTGTATATTTCATCTACGTCAGGCAACTTTCTGGTTACAATTTCCATATTTACTTGACAGGAGAAAAATCTGTACGGCTTTTTGTGCGTATGTTGTTAGAAGAAGGTAGAAAACATGGATTTCACCTGATAAATGACGGTAAGTCAGTCTTCATGCCAATAAAAGGTATCTGTGTTTTTTGGTTAGCTTACGTCATTTTAGACTACTTCAGTGATTATGAATAATCCTTTTCTTACATTTGATTGACCTCTCAACTCTGTAGGTCTCATTGTCTTGACTTGAAATTTCTACTGAAATAAAATTAGGTTGGGAGAAATCCGAGTATAATCGGAACCAGGAAACTGATTGGCTTGTTTCGACATAGAACTTTGCACAGAAGTGCATTAGTTCAAGCTACCACACTGCATGTAGCACACAAAGAAAAAGAAAAAAGACGTTCGAAATAACTATAATAGGCAGAAATGTGTGGGAAAAAGAATGGTGACATGGAAAAACAATAGTTTTATTGGATATCACAGAGTGAATGCATCTGCCCCAGCCATTGAGAACGATTTTGAGCCGTCACACCAATAGTCTCCAGCCATTGGTTCTTAGAATCCTGGGGACCTCAATTGGACAGCCGACTCCCTATATTGCTCAAACTAACTGTTAAACACTTCATAAACTGTTTGCATGCTTTGGTCTGACCACCACCAGCTCTTTTCCAAGCCGATACTAATGTCAGCTAACATTGCCCGTCAGTCGAGGAAGGCGATGACTAAGCGTGCGTAATATATGTCTTTCTAGCCATCTCAGTCGATGTGGCTTCACAATCTCATCGATTAATTTTCCCTACTCCTTACCTAACACGCGACAGTTAACCTCAGTATTACTCACTCTATTATACCACCTAACGAGCGATAGAACACAAACATCTATGGTTAAAGACAGCCAGCCTTTTCATGCCTCCCACTTTCAATGACCGTGTCTCACAGTCCCAAAGAAAGACAAGGCCAACTGCTGAGCGAGCAGTACACACGTCCTTTGATCGATAACCAGCCGGATATCACGTCTACTACTAAGCCAGAGTTGGTGTAAGTTGGCAAATAACCACACGAGCTTTCTGCATCCGTGGTGAGATTTTTTCAGCGATCAACCCGTTGGGGTTGATGCGAATTCTAAAACAAGTGAGGCGGTCAACACGCTCAGCCACCACTCCACTTCCTGTCTTTAAGCTAGGAGTCGATGTGGCAGCATCGATCTGTAGCATCACCTCACATTTGGCAGGAGCTAGTTACGTGCCAAACATTCGAAGATTTTTGCTCAATGTGTTCAGAAGACTCAGCGTTTTATCAAAGTCTTTACCCTCGGAAGACTATATCATTCATGTATTCTAAGTCAACAAGATTATTTACTGGTGAAAAGTTAATCCCTAAGTCTTTGAAATCAGTTAGTGTTAAGTCCATTTGGTACACCTGTAATGAAATTAAACAGAAATGAGGGCAATGGGCAGTCTTGATGGATACCACTGATTTTCATCACTTCATATGACAACTCTCTGTAAGCTCCTGAAATGGCCTTGTGAGTTCGAGTAGAGTGCCACAATTGGTAAGATGTACTTTCTAGACACTTCGCTCACTGACAAACATTACAATAGTACCTCTCGGTCGACATGGTCGAATTCTGTCTTCAAGTCAAGAAATATGGCAATTATTTGACTCCAGTAAATATGCCTATGATCCGCAATCTATCGAAGGGAACATCAATGATTGACATTGAAAATTTTCTACATTAACATTTTCAGAGACCAATAAGATGACTAAGTGTCAGTCGTAATGATAAGAGTACCTGTGGTTTTCGTGTGTGTGTTGTGGTGAATGTGTGTACATATAAAGAAAGTGATCTACTGGGATCCAGTCATCTGTTTTTTCTATTCCAGTTTAAATGTTCATATACACTTGAGAGTTGATGGTTCCAATTATTTAACCATTACTGTAGTTAAATACAGTTACGTATTAATATACTGGCATCCCACAGCACATACTAGTGTGTAACAAAAGTGGTTATTAGGGCTAAGATACTACAACTAGTCAATACATGTTACTCTCATAGCAAGTGTCACATTTAGTGCCACCAACATAAGAGTAACAGGGTAAAGCACGAGTATCATCAGGGGAGAACGAGGCTGTTTTCTTTACATTGGTTAAGTTTTCTTCGCAATACTGCGTATATGAAGTGGCCATCGGATGACGACCGATGTAGTTGTCAATTTATTGCAGCTGATGTAATATTACTCATCGTGTTTGCGATATGAATTTAACGACAAGGGTACATCCTCTCTAGTGTTAAATATTGACAGTTGTTGTCTATAAGCAGCGCTTAGGTTTAAATTTTTTGTTGAGTGATCCGAATTTCAGAGAATATAATTTTCTTCAGGCTTACAGACATGTGTTTCCTGATGAACATAGATCGGTATCTTAAACGGTTTGGTCTTTTTGCCGATTGCATTCTAACTTTTTGCACTGCAAGATAAGCTTGAAATTAGCTTTTGCTAAACCTAGTACTGTGACAAGGATTGTCGGCACAATGTTCGAAGCTGGGAAGGGTGTTCAGATTGCCGAATAAACCAGAAGATACAGTGTGTGGGTGCTCGGAATCTCTAAGGGCAGATGGAATGGCAGTGGATTGTCCGAACTGTTAACTGGAGACGAAAACCACGAGCACACTGACGAAATGGTCATCAGGATGTCGCCGACAGCGTCCAAGGCTATGATGCAGTGGGAACCAATCTCATTCAGGATGATTAGAACAAAATCCAACTGGAAAGGAAGGAAAGTTACAATCACCCCAATGTTACGCGCCTGCAAGCAGCTCAGAACAAGAGAAGAAGGGAAACTTTGAGGATAACTGCAAGCAGTAATATACCAAACATCAAACAGTGACATCAATGTTCCAATGGGAAAAATAAATGTAAAGTAAACTGCGAGCAGACAATACAGGCAGAAAACTGATTATGGGTCGATAGGCTCTTTGTGAAATGAATGAGAACAGCAAACAATTTGCAGACTGCTGTGCCTTCAATGCCTTTGTGATTGGAGGCAGAGTGTATAAGCGCGAAGGCATACATGCGGTGACATGGGTCTCACCTGATGGACAACCAAAATCAGATAAACTTCGTCCCAATGGTGCTAAAAGAAATAGAGACTCAGTCTCCTAGACACAATTGCGGACTCAGGTCCTCATCTTGTGCAAGGGGCCTTCAGAGTAACTGGAGATAGACGGCAGTTAAGGTTCAATCAGAAATTGAAGAACAGTACTACTAAGGACTCCTTCACTGCAATCATCAGAGCTAAGTTGGAGATATTTTGTAGCATCATCGAAAAAACCTGTGTTGAAGAACATCATAAAGTTACTGGAAGCGGAAAATGCGTCAGGACCGGACAGAATTCCTCCGAAAGCACTGTAAGCTCATCCAGAGGCCTCAGCAGATATGCTCATATCACTGTTGCAAAAAGTTTGGAACGAAGGCTGTCTTGTCAAACTGTCGGGAAAGGGCGGATATAGACTTGGCCAAAATTGACGCGGGATCATGCTCTCGTCCGCACCAAGAAAAGATGAAATCTCGTCATCTTGGAGAGACTAAAAGATGATCAGGTTATAGAATTCCACGCCAAACAGGTTAGATTCAGGAAAAGCCAATGGAATCGTCACGCTACACATCATAATCGAACGCAGCATAGAATAGCGATCAAATATCCGCCTCAAGTTAATCGACTTCAAAATGGCCTTTAACAGCTTTGTTCGTGAAGCAATTTGGAAACTGCTTCAAAGCTACGGACTGCTTCAAACCTCAGTCAACCTTATTCAACAGATATGTGACAATGCTGCATTCAAGTGATTCACAAAGGAAGCTTTTGGAATCAAGACAGGAGTAAGGCGAGGCTATCTCCTACCACCGGTGGTATTCCGAATTACGGTGGAGTAGGTTATGTGGCAGACCGTGAAGAGTGAGAAGATAGAGAGGACTGCATTGAGCCGACATGAGGACTAGAAGATCTTGACTTTTTGGATGGTTTATCTCTTATGTCACACAGACGGGAATGAAATGGAGATATGCTGTCAAAGCCCTATGTTCCATCCGGAATTCAAGTGAATAATATGTTAATAATTATACCAAGTACTGTTAAGTGTACAATTTTCAAAGGATTATCTCAAACACAGGCATTTAGATGTTCTCATGCATATAAAGATGTATTATTGTCGGTATAATAATTTCTGTGATTTTATGCTGTAACTTTTCTTTCATAAAATCCTGTAGGTAGGCATAGACTGTATTCTTTTGGCATGAAACGTGAAACAGCACAGTTGCTATTTTGTTTATTTCAGAAATCAACTTTTGAAATTACTGTTTTCTTTCAGCTGTATCAAAAGAAGTTTTCGAACAAGCGACTTGGTACAATGCATCCACCCCTGTAGTTTCAAACTGTGACGAGAAATCAAGAACTGATCGGGTCACTTCCCAGGCTGAGGATAGATTGTCTACTAAGAATGCTTCACCGGATGCTTCCCGTGTACAGAATATCAGTTCTTCACAGAGTGAACGTTATATCACCAAGGACGGAACTATTTTATACGCAGAATCAAGTTCCACACTAACGCCTACTCTTCCAAGACGTGAAAATAAACTGTATCAGCATGGAATAGGTATGATAACTAATTCATACTACATATTTATAATTTATGAACTGAGTAACTGTATATATGCAACAGTATTTATTTACTTGGACAACATTTTCCCCTAACCTATTCATCATTCAAGTTTACGAATTTATCAGGTTATCAGAAGTATGTTTGAATTATTAGTGTGAAGATAAGGCGATTTCGAATTATTTTACAATTTATGTCTGTCTTATGCATTCACCTTCCTTTCTTAATAGACAGGCGAATAACTCAAAAATAACCAACAGTTTATTTTGATAGTGGCTAAACGTCTATTACCTCTGGACTTTCAGTCATTGAGTCCGTATTTAGAAAACTGATAAATCTAATTCAGCTTACGCAACTGGGTAGTATCATCAGCCCCTCCCCACCCCCTCACATGAACACTGTAGCTTATTATAGCCTGTTTTAGGTAATTGAGTCCTAAGTAGGTAGCATTAGTTAGCGAAATTCAATCAGAATAACATCGATAATGTCAGTTTCGACAGTGGCAATTGTGAGATGCTGGACAGAGCCCACTGAAAATAGCGAGAAAATAAATCCTGGTAGTGTGAAACTCAAAACACGTAAATTTTTGGACCTTTACTCATTATATATATATATATATATATGATTGTCAGGACAAATTTGTTTTTAATTTGTAGCTACTCACTTAAATGTTGCTTGTCACTCTGTATGAACATGGTTTTATGAGGTTTGTTTTCCATTTACTGGAATATTCACTACTCGTAAAACTGCGTTGTTGATGTTTTATCTGAATGCACTCTCCGTTTAGTTTTTTATAATATTGGGTAATGAGTACTACTGATGTTGGCTCATCTGATACATGAGTCTTTCGGTTTTGACATTCAACTTTAATAGAGTTACACTGAAGACTTTTAAAAGACAGTGAGGAAAATGACGACTGGTAAAAGAGACACCCTTTTTCGTAATTACGATCATTTTTAATATTCTATTTCCATTGAAAAATAATGCTAACAAGCGAATCAGTACATCATCATCATCATCATCATCCAGTAATTAAGCACTGTTTGAAAGGGTTTTGAAACTTTATTTTGATTAGGTGAGTGAGTCAGTGAGCGAGACTGCAGCTTTTGTCATCGGATATATCGGGCTACTAATTAAAGTGAGATTGGGATGCCTTTGAAAGAGCGAATTAATTTCAAAATAGAGAGTGAATTCTGTGCATGCATAGAATCTGTCTAGGTTTCTTATGTTAATTGAAAAAAAATAGTTGAAACTGGTGAACTTTCATGTCGATTAAACTGTGTACTCCCTCATTGTTGTTCTTCACTATTTCTTTTTTAAAACCAAAATTAAAACTCCTAAACATATATATATATATATATATATATATATATATATATATATATATAATCCTTTTGTTTCATTTTACAGATTCTGGTGGATTCGATCTGTTAACTGCTCCTATTCAACAGACATCAGAGAAACGTACATGTGTGACTACTACACCTATTACCGAAAGTAAACATACACCGATAGGCAATTTGAATGCTCGAAGAACGTATGACTTTGCCAATCCTATTGCAAAAACTGAAAATTTTGATCATCATTTGCCTAGATACTCTTATCTTTCAAATACAGTCGATAGGTATGGAGGATATGATAGTCAGATAAAAGTAAGTTAATGTAATATATAATTTGTCGGTGTTGTCTTTCCTTATACATAGTTGAATTATCTGAATTTCATTAAGGCGGCCGAGGGGAGAGGCAATAGTACTAACCTGTTTTATTTTTATACTTTTTAACCTTGAAATTATGTTATCTTTAGTGTAAATATTTACAAGTGTTTCATAAAGTTGTTTGTCTGTTTTGATTGATGCTAAATTTTATCCACTCATCATTTGTTTGACTAGGTGGCTGACTGACGATTAATCAGATTTCAGATCATTCAAATGTGTCGATAACTTACCTTTTAAATTATATCAGGATATGTAATCCTGTAGATGATACTGTATCAACACTCCTCGAACAATGTGGGCTCTTATCGGCATAGATTATATTGATTTTACAGAGCATTGGCCTGTAATCAGTTTCTAGTTATTCATGACAGTAACTCCCGCGTATGTTTGTGATTTTTTACCTCACAAATAATTTTGTGCGTAGTGTGGGGTAGAATATATTTCACTGAATGTACCTCAACGACTTATTTCTGTTCCTACAAGAGTCATTTTGTTTGACAAATCCCATAGACACAAGATCATACTTCACTTCATATGTTTGACTGCATTACTGTTGCCCATAGTGATGTTAACCATGGTCAGTGTGATCTAAATGCAACACTCAGCTATCAATTGGAGACTAGTTCATTGTTTAGATTCCTATGAGTTCCGAGTGGAACATAGAACGTTAATGTTTCAGTAACAGTGGTGTCATTCTTTTTTACAGGGTGGGTTCGCAAACCTCCCGCTACATCTTCCGTCCTTATCAGGCTTACTGCTAGCTGAACCAGGTTTAGAAGTGTGATGATCGGGGATCGAATCCCAGACCGCATGTATCTTTGGCGGGCATTCTACTACTGGACCGCCGAAACTATTTATCTGCCTAGAACTTGTTGGACTGAAAAAAAGTCGAATTCTTAACTTTGTTTAAAAGTCAGGTTTAACATATTTCCACTTTTTCGAAAACTAAGATTCTTAACACTTTCATTTGTTTCGTTACATGTGTAATTTGAATATTTCCTGTTGTACAAATTGTTTCTGTTATGTAGGCCTCAGCTCTTCAAGCACCAGCCTCTCAGACAGTATGCTTCAATTCAGTTAAACGACGTCAGTTGGAACGTTTACAAAAACGTTCTGATTGGTTTTTAAGTCCTCCTGCTGGTTTAAGATCATCGACTGGTCTTATCCACTTAAACCCCAAAGCTCCAGGTGGTGAGTTTCATTTTTACAGTCTTTAATTTCTGCCGTTTTATATTTAACGAATTCATTTGCTCTACTTAGTTGATACGTGGTTTCGTACTGCCTGGAATTAAGTGGATTTAAAAAATTTGTAAATAGTGATTTTATAGGTGTAACTCTCCTTGCTTAAGGTGTCCACTTTTAACCAGAGAGTTGCACTGGTGAAGTGTTCAGCCTTTGCAAGATTTAAGTTAGATAAAGATTCTAGTCTGTCTCATTGATTGACTAATCGGCATAAATATAACAGATCAGGTTGTCATCCCTTTTTCTTTTTATATTTTAATTATAGCTTGATTCCATGCAGTAGTTTTGGTACAACTATGAAATTCTCAGCATGTGATATCGGTTGCCCAAATTTAGCAGGCCGACCATTATTATCAGGTTTGCGTCGGTCGGGGATCGCACCCCGGATCATGTGCATGGTCGGCGAGCGTCCTAACCGCTGTGCCACCGACTCTCACAAAGGAAATGCAGAGAAACTCTGATGGGGATGTATAGGGATAAAATAACTACATGAAGAGTAGTGAAGATATTTAGACTCTGATTGATAACAAAGAGTCAAGGCATCTGCACCAGTCTCATCATCTCGAGGACCTCAGACCTCTCGATATGACTCATACTGACAATGATAGACTTCAGTAGTTAGTCCCCTTGTATGGTCTGACCACACCTGATCCTAGTATTACTGACCATATTGCTCCCTCTAACTCGAAAAATTCAATGGAGGCACGTTTAATCGAAAACCGCCTATCTCCATGTGCGTAATATCAGATGCCATGTCTCACAGTCGTGAAGTAGGCTGAGGGGACTACAGCACAGTTCACACATCCTTGAATGAATAGGCGACAGCATGTAGACATCAGCATGAACACAAGTTAACAAATACTAAAAAAAGCCTTTTTATCCATTCTCAAACTTTGTCAGTAATAAGATAATTAGGGTGAGGTGAAGTAGTCATGACATTTAAACGTTTCCTTCCTTATTCAATAAACTCGGGGTTCCAGCGGACCGGCCCTATCACATCACCCTATATTCGGCTAAAGGCACTTCAGTCCGGTCAAATGAATAGTATTTTTAGCCCTCGTAGAATATTTTGTATCATTTATATCTAGGTACATGAAACATCTGTTCTGGGTAACTGAGTTTGTCTTTGGTTTGATGGCACCAGGTGTATGCTGTCGTTTTCTTCGTCTATAACTTTATTTTGGGTCTAATGGACAAGTAATAAACTCATGCGTATATAATACCGTGTGCATTAGACCTCCAGTAAAATGTTTCGCTAAACACTAGTTGCTCACTAAAATACCTCAGTTGTTTATGCTCCTGTTACTCATTGAAGCCTGTTCACTAATGCTGATTAGTGATCAGTCTTGTCTATCAGTCTTACTATGCTATCTACCAATCAGGTAGTCTTCAGTCCACACCACAATTTCAGGAGTGTTTGTGTGTTAGTATATTTTCCCCACATACAATTTATCAATTTATGATTGTTTTGCTTACATTGTCTTAAGATTGTTCCACTTCTCGTTTACTTTTCCCCCATTAGTTGGTCATACTCACCTTTCACCTCATGCTGAAAATGAAACGGACAAATCCCTAAGTAACTATGATAACAATGATAATAATAATTTGAAAAACTATCCAATTGTGCCTGTTGAACAAAATTCCACATCAGATATTGATTCAAAATCACTAATGGATATTGAGTTATCTGAAGATGTTATTGTCACTGATCATAATAATAATCTGAGTCATTACAGTGTTAATGATGATGTCGGACACTTGGTGTTCACTGCACCGGAACGTTTATGGGATTGTGGTAATGTGAAGACAACGACTGTCAGTACTGGTTGTAAAAGGAATTCACGTACACTGTTGCCTGATGAAACAGCAGCACCAGCGGCGACAAGTTCTCCGAATTGGCAAACAGATAGCTTGAAAAATTATCCAGCTAAACGGTCTTCCCTTCGACCAGTTATTGATGAGAAAGAGAATTATCCAGAGGTTAGTGTTTTTTGCGTTTTTGTTTTACATATCATTTATCTTTTCGTTACTGTTGTAGTTGATCTTGGTGTAAGAGTTGAACACGTTGTTAACAAGTGTTCCCTTGGCATGTGATTTATGCATGCATGCAAACATTTACACAAACAAAATATTCATCTCCTCCTATGTTCAGTAGTGTCCAATTGAATTCGATAAGATTCTGCTTCCTTCACTGCAGAAATTGGGACACTGTATTTTTAACGTAGAAGGGAAACAGTTGTTTCACTGTGTTGTTTTTTCAGTTATTTATTACGTTTGGCCGTGAAAACTAGAATGTGGATACCCCCTTTCCCTCACCCCCCTTTATTTCGGCCACTTTTTCCTTCTAACTATCATGTTTATGCAAAGGTGAAATTAAAGCCTTCATTGACCCAACTAAACGTTGTCCATATCAGCTAATCATTTTTGCTGTGCTTTGTGTGTGTATTTAAGTTATGTACTAACGCACAGGAGATAAGTAATGAGGCTAAGACCTTATACGCGTATTGCCCATTTTCATACGGTTACCACTGTATGCTTTTGCTGACTACTTTTTTTTCTTCTTTTTTACAAGCTTTAGTGATTGACTGCCCTACCCTAGTTTCTTTTGTTAACCTTAACTCTTTAACCATTGAGGAGGAGAAAAATGTTTATTCTTGTTTTTGTTAAAATTATTCACATGGATTGAGACTTCACGCAGTCGTTTTTCAAGTGACGGAAATATTGTTACCATCATCGCTGTGTTTTTTCAAGAATTGGACTATAGGAATATAATTTGTTTCAAGTTTGACCATGGTTTGATACCAGCTAGAAAATCACTGTTAACCAAGGAATACTGGGTAGTAGTTTCGACCTAGTTTGGGATTCATTGGCAGTACGCGCACTCACTAGGGTTCGCACCTAGGACTTTGCGGTTACATTCAGTCACTGCGACCCGACTCAATAGCCCATGAAACTAAACTTCTACCAGTTCGTGATTTTACCGCGACCGGCACCAGTCAATGTCGTTGTTAATGTCGCTCGGTAGTAACTGGCTACATGACGAAATCGCCTGCAGTTCTAGTGATAAGTAGTTTTACCAGCGTTGTTCATCCGGTCAGCCGATGACGTTAGCTGGTCGTTGTGCTGAAATCACTAATTGATAGAAGTTGAGATTGATGGGTCATTGAGTCTGGTCCTAGTGATTGAATGTTTTACGAGCTCGCCTGGTAACCGTGAGGTCCTAGGTGTGAACGCCAGTGGGTGCGTACCGTTGATGAGTCCCAAACTAGGCCGAGACCACTGGTTCTCAATGGCTCTCTAACTGATATCAATCCACGGCCAAACTTGAAACCCATCTATGTTTGTAAATGTGTATTAAGATTGTCAACTCGCTTCGAAGCGTCACGTATTTGTTTTTTAATCCGTGTCGGCACCTTGTCGTGTTAGCCGTTTTAGTGAGATGAGCGACCACTATGTATATATGCCACTAAAAGAATATTACTTTTATTACTTTTCTTCTCAGGTGGAAACGCGATACTATGTTGTTGAAAGATATTACGGTCCTGAGCCTCGACCACCACCGATTGGGGTTGGTGGCGCTGGTGGTGGTCAGCATGTTATGAATCATGATAGGGTACCTCATGCCTGTCGTTCATAGGCTGGATGATAACTAGCATAAACAGAAATTCAAACTACACTTTTCGCCTTTTGTGTACACAGTTTATCCTCCAGGTAGTTACTACTATTTAATATTTGCTGTTTTTTTTCTTCTTTACAACAAAACACAGTACACACAACCGTTTTTTTATAACATTACAAAAGTATGTATTATAGCAATAATATTTATCACCCATAAGAATTCCGACCTCATCACTATTCCTTCCAATCCTCACTAATATTCATTACTATTATCTGCTTTATATGTTTCAGTTGTCTTTTTAAAAGTATATACATATGTATAATAAATAATATATCCCATAATATATCACATCACTTCACATTATCCTTACCCCATTTTTGTCAAAGAATTCCTAGCGGTATATATTTATATTATTGTATTGCTCTACACTCTGTGCCTATACTATACAAACTGTTCTTACCACTCTTCAGCTGGAATGTTATTTCTAATCTTATTGCAAGGATTATAATTCTATTAGTTATTTTTTCTAATATGTTTTTTTCTTTTCCTCTCTTCTCTCTGATTTTTCTTTGTTTTTTTTTTGGATGTATACGTGGTGAAACGCATTACCCGACGAAGTTGTTGGGAGATGCAGAGAACAACTTCTTCGCATAATAACACTAATGTTCACTTGTTTCAGTTGTCTTTTTAAAAGTATATACATATGTATAATAAATAATATATCCCATAATATATCACATCACTTCACATTATCCTTACCCCATTTTTGTCAAAGAATTCCTAGCGGTATATATTTATATTATTGTATTGCTCTACACTCTGTGCCTATACTATACAAACTGTTCTTACCACTCTTCAGCTGGAATGTTATTTCTAATCTTATTGCAAGGATTATAATTCTATTAGTTATTTTTTCTAATATGTTTTTTTCTTTTCCTCTCTTCTCTCTGATTTTTCTTTGTTTTTTTTTTTTGGATGTATACGTGGTGAAACGCATTACCCGACGAAGTTGTTGGGAGATGCAGAGAACAACTTCGCATAATAACACTAATGTTCACTTGTTGTTTAATGTTGTTCATATCGGTGCGTTTTACATTTCTGGGCTTGATATTATTATTATTATTATTATTATTATTATTATTATTTAAATGCAGGAAAATAAATGCCGACCATTGAACTATTTGGTTGTCTTTTTTAAACTTCCTCAATTTTTATGCTTGAATGATTCTTCTTCGCCTACTCCTCCACATCTCCTTTTGTTGTCGCTTGTCTGGATTGTTTGTTTTTCAGCCTGCGGGCGTTAATCACATTATTATTAATAACTAGGCTAGTGTTTGTGCTAGTCTGGTTCACAGTTAGACGATTGATTGCCTTTTCTCTCCACACTTCTTAGGTTGAAAAGAAGATGTGTGCAGAAAACGCCCAATTATTACTTTTTTGTTCCCTTTTTTTAAGCCCTACAAAACATTTTTACAATTGCTAGTTTTATTGATACTACTTATTGCCAATACCAACCAATATAGAGTAGTGCATTGTTAATGGTGTATTCTTAAGAACATATTGTTCTCATCTTGGCGATTCACTGTTTCTAGAGTTTTAATATATGAGATTGTTTTTTTTGTCTTCCATGGTTTCATACAATTTTCTATATTTAAAGAATGTGTGTGTGTTGGGGGGCGGGGAGAGTTGTTGTTGAGCCTCTTTATTTGACCAACACTTCTTCATAATACAATAATAATATTGACTATTGTTGCTTTTTTATTATGATTATTATTTTCTAAGTGATTTCATTATGCATATGCGCATATATGAGTAGATAAGTAACTAATCCCCCATTGTTGTGTGGGGCTGTGTATCTATCTATCTGTCCATTTGTCTTATATATGTAAATATTAAATAAGGCTAAATGTAGACAACAACTTTGCTTTTGATACTTACTGTACACGTTAGTAAAACGTGCTCTTTTACTCTTATATCACACCTTAGACTATTTAATCGATCAAATTTTTTGCCTGTGGGTTTTGGTTGGTTCCATGGGTGTGTCTTCTCCATTTGTTCCCCTCCTATTTCGTATCTCTTTAATAAATAGAGATAATCCTTCTCCTTTTATATATACATATATATCATCACAATGATTTCTTTTTTTATCTGTTCTTTTCTTTTTATGCGTCAGAGATTTGTAAAAACAAAACTTGGCCTTGTTGTGCTTTATTCTCTACTTTCTATGGTTTCGCATAGTATGTGTGTGTGTATTGTTTTATTGAATTGAAAACCATTTTTATGTTTATTAAAATGATGAGTGATGCAATTTTATCTGTCTACTTCTTTATTTTGTTTTGTTTTTACTTTAGAGATGGTTTATCACTAGTGTTGTGTGACAGTTAGTGCAACGTCAATGTCAGTAGGGAGTAAAGCAGTAGTAGTAGGCTAGTGATTTGTGGAAGTAAATCTAACCAGGCCTTCTGTTCCCACTTTGATTCAACGATATATTCTACTATTTATTCGATATAAGCGAAGGTAAGATAGTTAGGCTAAATGTGGGGGAAACACACTCGGTTTCCCATACTATATCATAAAACTTGAGATTTGTCGCTTTGGTGTAGTGTATTTGAACTTGAAGTGACTACAACTTATCTTAAGCGATAATTAATTTCCAGAAAATGTATTCAGATGAAATTAAACCACTCAAACTATAAACATGTGATAGGTCGTTTAGGGTGTATGTAAGAATAATATTAATAGCTCTATTCTGAAAAATGCGTTTATGACACAATACAGAATTTTCAGCGAGTTTCACTGCAAGATATATATGCTCCTTGTTAATATATCATCCGAAGCTTGCTACAGTACTACTTCACATTGTTCTTCCTCCACTCACTTCGAAAAATCCTTAGCGGTAGGTTGGAACTTATTTGAAGTAAGTAGCTCGCGAGTATGAACTGTGACTCATTGTGATAATTAGATCATTAAAACAATATGAAACAGAGTAAACCCGATACATTTTAATAGATAACAAATTTAAGGTAGACCAGTGTGATTTAAGGAGGCCACCATGCGTGTGTGTGTGGGGGGGAGAGGAGTATTGATCGATAGTTCCAAAAGCCGCCTACTGAGAGTGGAGTTTGAACCCAATTGAGAATATACACCTTAGGGGATCCTAAATCCACAAGTAATGCGTGTCGGCAAACTTGAAATAACACTTTTCCACTATTTGCTTTCGATACTTGTGTTCATTCTGCCCATGAAACGTTCACATTTCCCATATCCAGAAAAACTTGACTATTTGGCATAGTGCTTAGGGTCGAGTTCTATTTCCTAAGATGTTAGCTTTAGATCTTCATATACCCAAACGATTAATTACACTGCACCAATGCTAAGGGGGCTACTGTCTGAGTATATATTGTAAAGTTCTAACAGTCTACCTTCACAGAATTTGCAAAGGCATATACCACTGTTCCCACATGCATACAAGAGCTACGATCTGATCTCTGAAGTTTAGTGTTGAAATGAATTCAGAATTCCGCATTATGCCTAAACAGTAAGTCTTATATGATTTGTGTCGTATATACTTTGGTATGAAAACAGCTTTAAGGGCATCATGGAGATTAGTGTCGGTGGCACAGCGGTAGAATGCTCGCCAACCACGCAGGGGGTTCAATCCCCAGCCGACGTACTTCTTTACCTCACTAATCCTGTAGAAAGACCGGTAAAGAGGGAAGGTTGGGCATGAGCTTAGCAACTCCATCCCCTAAAAATAAACACCACTGCTTCCGAAACTTCAAGCATCTAGCTTGGAGCCCTATGTTCTACTGGTAACGTAAAGGAATAAAAGAAAATGAAAACATCTTTAAAGGCGTCTTGGAGATTAATAGAAGTTTTCAGATATCAACAAGCATTCGTGAAATTTCACTCTTGTTAGTACTGAATCTGCCTACACCACCAATTTTATGGTTTCAGCATTTAGGCGTTGCTTTACTTTTGATCAGAATTCTGTTGAGTTTGATGAGTAAAGAATTAGTTTGGATATAAGGCCTTAAAGTTCGACAAAATTGGAATCGCTGAAAAAACGTTTCTGTGTATACCAATGTGGTTATCTCTGAAAAGACAGGTGTGTCAATTAGTGGGACATTGTGATGCAGCTCAGTTATCTGTAAACTCCGAGGAATAACGTGAACAACGTCCACTTCTGTACTATGGTAAAAGTGTCTTGTATAGCAGATACTTTTATTCAAAAGGCTCTCAAGAATGATGGTGAATAACCACTTATCGAAAATCCTATACATGTATGCTTTGTTTCGTAAATTCGATGATTTGGAGAAACGCAGTGTAGAATGATGTAAGTTCACCTAGTTTCGTTTCTCCTCTTATCATGTGTTTATAACTTAAAAGATTGATAATTTAGTGACTCATTTGTCTGTTTTCATGAATACATTTCCGTAATAACCAACATTGTGGATGATAAGAATGATTCCCATTAATGATGTCTTCAGATCAAACATTGCCATCTGATTATTGTGGATTTTCACTTGGATTTGTGAATTTGGTTCTATGTGTGTTACCAGTTCATAGAAGTAGCAAAGTGGAATTTAGGCTGCCATGAGATGACAGAACATACCGTTGAGTAGGTTGGTCCTAAACGGGGGTGAAACACTACTGTACAGCGTTTAGACCACTTAAGGTCTGCCTAACAAAGCAGTGCTGGTTGACATGAGTGGTTTGCAACTACTCAGGGTAGGGTGGTGGATAGATTAGTTAAAAATTCGAATATGGTAGTGAAGTTCAGCAGCTAATAACTCACTTACCGTCAGATTAGCTACTTGTTTATTTTAAAGAAGAAACTTGTATGAATTTCAAATAACAGACGAGGAAGAGGTCCCCACACTTCACCAGCTGTTGTTACTGTAATTTTCGTGCTATTAAGCGTCGTGATCAACTGAACTGTCTGTATTCACCGAGTTAAATCCCTCATGTTGCACTGCCGGTCATTTAGTTTGCTCCGCCTGGTTTTATACCAAGTTGACGAACGACCTGGATGTATTCCAGTCATTCATTTCCTGATCTGTCTAAAAAGATTCTTTGCATTACCAGCTGATGCACAAAGTGTATTAAGCAAACAGTATGGTGACTGCCTGAAGTGATCTGATGAATGTTGTTAGATAGTTACGGGTATTTAGCAGAAATCGTGAACTTAACTGATAGAATGGAGAACATGAAGGCAATTACACCCTCGGGACTTACCAGTTTGTATGATAAATATAGTTAAAGACATACCTGATTTCAACAAACAGTCGGTTGCTTAAACAGGTGACAATTTCACAGTACATCAAAGTTTCATGTACATTCTTCTACGAGTACTGACTGACCTATCAGTAGAGAATTTTGTATAAAGGTACAGCAGTTCACTTTGCCACACTTTCGATTATTACTCATAAAAGTGGGACAAAAGGAAATGTAACAACCAAATGACGTATATAGATATTTACTTGTAAAGTAATCAGAATTTCACTAATTATACTCGTTTTGCTTTGGTTCTGGTATCTGTGAAATCACCTGAGAAGAAGAGGTAATTCGACTTCCCTGTTAGTGGGTCTGATTATTGGAATTCTCTTCCTAGGCAGGTATGACTTTCATGCTTGAGTTGCTGA